ATATGTGAATCAGTACAACCTGAAGTCTAAGTTGATATTTTTAAGAATTATCAAACAATAAACAAGAAAGTCAAATAAAAGATCCATTATAGTACATATTTACATTACCTACCTTTTACTTGGGTCAATTCTCGTAACTCGAGTACACCTCTGCCTATGGTCTTTACCTGAATCTAGTCCGATAAAGGACATTTTCTTGCGAAATCTTACTGTTTTTACTTTCAACAAACACATAAAATTACCTATTATTCACACACACTTCACAATCGAATAATATAGGTACTTGTACTAGAAACTGATAAACAAATACACTATTTGAAAAACCTACACATATATTTAACTACTACTACACATTTATGCAACTTTATGTTTAAAACTAATTCCTAATAATTTAAACGAAAACATAAACAAAGCGATCGCACATCACATGAAAACAATATGGCCGAAAACATTGGAAACGAATTGAAGTCATTACCAATAGTCAATTGAGTGTTTATTATAAAAAAATGTAGCTTAAAAATTAAGGTAATGCAGCGTTTAATTTAAAAAAAACAAAGGTTAATTTAGTAAGTCAAATGAAATTGCATCATCGTCTTAAACCAATATTTCATACTAAAAAACATTCATTCATATAATTTGAAACGTTGTAAATGGCGCCATCTTGAAGTTTCAATAACTTCCTTTTAACTTTTATAATAATAAAGTCAACTCCTCGTTTAAAATTTCTATAAACCGACAACGCGTAAAAATGTTAAGCTTTAATTAAAACACTTGAAACATATTTGTTAAATACGCATTTATAAAAATACATTCGCATTATATCGAACGAGTTCAGAAGTTTCAACAAAAAATTCAATAGATGGCGCTGATGTACTCCATTCATCAGTACTTTACGATATACAGATTTTATCAATTTAAAACCTTTTATAATTTAATTGTTTTTAAAAATACAATAACTTGTTGCTGTTTTATTGTTTTAGAATTCTTAATAAAATACGATCGTTTTCCAAGTGATGAACGAACGGTCCTCTAATTTTTTAGTTGCAAACATTTTGTCAATCAACAGGAATCGTGTAATATAATTATGAATGGTTATTCTGTACCGTGACTATGGTCGTGAACTTCACGCATGCGCGGTGCATACTTTTGGTACATTTCTTTTGTGACGTCAGTACTACCAACCAAGATTTAAGGAATAGTGGCGCATGCGTGGTGCGTGCGGGGCGCATTCATTACTTTACAAAGGCGCGTATTTATGTTAGCCGTTTTTTTACAAACTTTTATTATATTATTGAATTTTAATAAACGCGTTTGTACATTTTATGTATGTTATATATTCACGATATTTATAGTTAGGCAAAGCCTTTTCGCCTATATGGACTGCACGCCACTGCAAGTGATGATGCGGCCTACGATGGAGCACGTCGTCCGATAAGCAACCTATTCACTCGGGCCTTGATAACACCCAGGTTTTACCCTTCAGAAAATACAGACTTTGTAAAAACTAAAAAGTTGCAATTATTAAAAAAAAAATGCATAAATAAAAGACGTTGTTGTTTAGGTCGTCCTAATTAACTGTCTTTTAAAAACTATTGTCTTCTGTTTGTTTGAATTAAAATGTAGATTGAACCAGATCCCATTTAATATAATATTTTTCGTGAGCAAATACCATTTTTATTCGCATGACCTACTAAATAAAAGGTAGAAAATAGAAAATGCCTGCGGCATTAAGTCCACCCATGTGCTTATTAGTGTGCATAAAGCTTTTTAAATAAATAAATAAATAAAGACTTGTAATAAATTTTCGTAAGATAATAACGATCGACTGTTGAAGGTTACGAGGGCACGCTCAACAATGCATGTACCATCGGCAACGTTTACGATAGTACACTTTTGAAACAAAGTCCTGTGGCAAACTCGCTATCCATCGCTCTGATTTCCCTGTAGTCGCTCGAGTCGACTGCATGCGAATATCGCCTAATTATGGTAACCGCCAACTTTGTCGATTGTGCATATTAATGTAAAAATATTCACAACAGAATCAATGCAGGCAAAAGTTTTCAAATCTCACCTGTTCTAATGAATGAGCTTTTATACTGAGCTGCTCTGTAACATTCATATCTTCTACAGAACTTAGCGCGTCTTCACTGCCCACCTGTGAACAAATGTTAACTCAGAACCCACAAACGAATTAATTACATAACATAACTTCATGCCTGTCTATGAAACGCCAATTGCTACGATTCTTACATATCTCTTTCGCTTCATCAAATGTCATCAACAAATTAAATAGAAGATAATGCTTTATTAACACCAGATTAAGACCTCATTGGGCCGTGAACATTACTAAGGATCATATAAGTCGCAGGAACTGAGAAGAAGAAAGAGAAAAGACTATGAAAGAAACCACAGATCTCTTACCAAACTCCCTCCTTCAGACAAGAAGTCTCCATTACAGCTTGCAGTCTGACTGCTAGTAGCCAGGTGTATCTTATTCGGAGTGCCCCCTATCCTCTCCCTCTGGGCCTCCTCTAGTGAGTACTGCAACTCCTGGTTCTTATTCTTCAACTTGGCTATCTCGCATTTGTATTTATTGTCACTCTCACTGATGAGTCTCTGGTAGTCTTCCAGTGATGCCCTCAATTGAGATACTTCGAATACTTTGTCTGATAACTATAATTAAAAATGATAATATTTATCCCACTAACATATACAATAAAATTTAAAAAGCATGTTACAGAATTACTTTTGGAGAAGTGTTATTATTCAGTACAAGAATTCTTGGACGATAGTTTTATTTTTAAACGGTTTTTTAAAAATATGTAAATAACATAACATCACGCCTTTTTATCCCCGAAGGGGTAGGCACATTACGGCACTTAATGCCACTGTACAATGTAACATCCACTTTTCACTATTTATGTTACGAGTCCCATGTAATAGGGGGTGAGCCTATTGCCATATACCGGGCACATTTCCAGACTCCGAGCTACTACTGAGATTTTTAAAAACTCAATAATACTTGTCCGACCCGGGAATCGAGCCCGAGACCCCTTGCCCGGCAGTCGCACTTGCGACCACTCGGCCAACGAGGCAGTCTAAGTAAAATATGTAAATTTATCTGTCAATTAAGGTAGAATGTATATGGAACCTTAAGACTGTGTAACACCTAATAATTTGTACCCACATTCATTGCAAATAAATAAATCTATTCTATTCTTATCATTCATGCCAAAAACAGTAGGCGATATACGACTGCACGGTTGGTGCGGTGGCTGGGCAACCGACTGCCGTGCAACGTGTCGCGGGTTCGATTCCCGCACGGTACAACACTTTGTGTAATCCACAAATTGTTGTTTCGGGTCTGGGTGTCATTGTGTATGTGAACTTGTATGTTTGTAAACGCACCCACGACACAGGAGTAGATCCTAATGTGGGGCAACGTTTTTTTTAAAAAAAAAGATGTATGTGGGACTATTTTTTATAATCATTATCACCTGTAAATACCATACTTCGTGAAACTAAACATTCTTATTTCTATTTCTTTCATGTCAACTAAACTTTTTTTTTTGCCCATCTGATCGCAAACATAACTGATGAGCAAGGAGACTTAATTCCCTGCTCATGCAAATTGTTATTGGATCATTTTCTGCTTGATCACAGAAGAATGTCAGTTTTATAATGGAAACCTGGACTGTCCAGTATCTGAGCTCTATTGTTTGATTTACAATAACATAGCTATTGTATTAGGTAATGTTGGATGTGAAAAGAATAAAAGAAAATGGAATTCAGAAAACAGGGAATGGGACTAAAATTTTATAATTACAGCACCCTTTTATTAATCACGATTTAATTAAAGAATGACAGTTATAAGTAAAGTAACTGTGCCCGCGACTTCGTTCGCGTGGAATACTGCGCTTACCGCATAGGTGATAGCTTGATATGTAGCCTATATAGTCACTAATACACACTAACAGGTCGGGTCAATTTGAAGTAAATCCATGCAGTACTTTTTGAGATCATCCCGGACATACATACAAACAAACAGACAAAAATTCTAAAAATCATATTTTTGGCTTCAGTATCGACTATAGATCATGCCCCAAATATTTAATGTACAGTTTTGACTTTTCTATGATTTTATTATATGTATATAGATAGTTTAGCATACCTGTGAAGCATACTGCGCATTCTCAATAATTTTCTTCTGTAGCTCTTCTTGTAGAAGTCCCGAGTCTAATGCAGGTGCGCTACTGACTGTGGCCTGCTGCTTGTCATCACCTTTGTTTTTTGATTTCTTTGTCAATTTTAACTGCAAAGTTAAAATAAATTATTGTCAACGATGAAATATACCATTATGGAAATATAATTAATTTTCAATAAATAATGTAATGGTAACTGAGACCCTTGGATACAATTAACCCTTCATAACTGGTAGATATGGTCTTCAGTAACAATCACAAAGAGTAAATGTTTATCAGTCACATAGTTTATTAAATGTATAATGATGTAAACAATACTTAATATGTTTATATATCGTACTGAAAATCCCCTTAATTTGTTCGTACAAAAGTAGGCTCTAAACATCCGAAAAAGGTCTATAATGGTGTTAGTGGAGAGAGGTCACTGGTGACCATTGGGGCATTGAACAGTTAAACATTGAGTGTGGGTTTTTTACAGAAAGTGATAATAGATAAGCAATATAATTTTATTTTATTCAGTAAAAATAATAGTAAATCATCAATATACAGGACTGCCTCATTGTCAAGTGGTCGCAAGTGCGACTGCCGGGGGTCTCGGGTTTGATTCCCGGGTCAGGCAAAGAATTACTGGGTTTAAAAAATATCTCAGTAGTAGCACGGAGTCTGGATTGTGACCGGTAAATGGCAATAGGCTCACCCCCTATTACATGAGACTCGTAACATAAATAGTGAAAAGTGAGTGTTACATTGTACAGTGCCATAATGTGCACGTCTGCCTACCCCTCAGGGATAAAAGGCGTGATGTTATGTATGTCAATATATGAAAATATTCTTTATCTTTACTGTATAACAATAACTTCCTTATAATAATCCAAATTGCTGTATTTTTCTTTTGTTTTTAGTAACATAAACAAAATGCATAATCATGATACCATACATTCAACAGCTGTATCTGCATTTATTTTTAATTTCAACATAATGCAATGTATTTTTTTTTTTTTTTTTTTTTTTTTTTTTAGGGGGGGAAAACCATCGAATGACTGCCCCCGCCTGGGTGAGGCGGGAGGGAGTGTCAGACTCTTACTGACTAAAAACCACCCCGTTCCTTCTCCTGCACGTCGAGCCGGAGCCCCGGTTACCCGTTAGGTTCTCCGCGACTCCGAATCGGCATCGGCCCTATTGGGCCCCATCTGTGGTGGTCTGATGGCTCTTTGAGGCGCGCGCGGAACGCGACGCGCCGTACGCTCGGGTCTGTTTCTGGTCGGACGGGGAGCCACCCATGCTCGCCGTCCGCAGGCCCGCGCTTACGGTGGCCGGAGATCGTCCCGCGATCCCCGACGCCCGGTGTGTCCTTCGCGATGGCTGGGTTGCGAGGAGGCAGCGCTTCGCTGCCTCACGCGTCCCGCCTCCTCCTTAGCTAGCATGACTGCTTCGCAAAAGGAGGAGACGGCATCCCAATCCCCCTCGCTCCGCATCATGGCCTGCACTAGGCCCGGACGCGAGAGGTCGCCATCGCCGATCACTTCCCTGAGGACACGGCGGTGCTCAGCCCACGAAGGGCATTCTCCCACCGTGTGTTCCACCGTGTCCTCAGGGCGGTCCTCGCAGTGATGACACCCGGGCGTTTCCTCCCGCCCCATCAGACACAGGTACCTCCCGAAACTTCCATGTCCGGTGAGGACCTGCGTCAGGCGGTAGGTGAGGACGCCGTAGCGTCTCTCAAGCCACTCCTCAAAGAGGGGACTTACCGCTGCGATGGCAGCGAGCCCAGCCCTCGGTTGCGACAGTCGTTGCTGCCATTCCGCCATGAGATCGCGCCGGAGCTCATCCCGCCACGCACTTATCTGGCGCGGCAGCGGAGTTTCGCCCCGGCGACGTGCCTCCGCGCGCATGCTGTGCACGCGCGCGAGCACCTTCGCCTCCAGATCCCACGGCGGTAATCCGGCAAGGAGGTTCGCCGACTCCCCAGAGATCGTGCGGTATCCGCGGATCATTCGGATCGCCATGACCCTCTGTGCCATGAGCAGCGTCCGAGCGGGACGCCGCAACAGGTTAGGCGCCCAAACAGGGGCGCCGTAGAGGGCCATGGACCGCACGACCCCGGCGTATAACCTCCGGCAGGAGGCGTTTGGCCCCCCGAGGTTGGGGAGGATGCGTTTAAACGCAGCCCCCGCCCTCGCCAACTTTGGAGCCAAACGTCGGAAGTGCTCCACGAAGTTCCACCGACTGTCGAGGACGAGTCCCAGGTACTTCATCGTCGTCTCGACGCCGATGGTAACCCCTCCCGCCATTATTTGGGACCCACCCGGAGGTGGCGCGTTCCCGCGGCCATGAAAACACATGGCCTCGGACTTGTGGAGCGCCACCTCGAGTCCCAACTGCCGGATTTTTTCAACGACTGTCGCAACCGCTGTCGCCATTAAATCGGCCGCCGCCTGGTGCGACCTCCCGTGCGCTAGCACCAGCGTGTCGTCGGCGTAGCATATTGTGCTAACGCCGTTCGGGAGGTCGGTGCGCAGCACCCAGTCATAGCCGATGTTCCACAGGAGCGGCCCCAGAACCGAACCCTGTGGAACACCGCGTGACATCTCTATAATGCAATGTATGGTAGGTAATCAGATGAATAATAATATTTTCATGTTTCATTTTCCTATTAAACGGTAACATTTAAGTGTTAAAAAAGCCTACTAAAACAGAAAATAATCAGAGCATATCATTTAGAACAAGGTAAACTAAATTAATATTTCAATTGGAGCCCTTCCACATTTAATTAACATTTTGTTTAGCTTAATATTGCTAAGTGATAAAAACCCAAGTTCTAACTGACGGACATATTGAGGTATCATCTGTATAAAATGTGTGAAAACATGAATCAGTTAAGATAACAGAACCTTAATTAATAATGGTGAAACAGGCCCTATGTATTTGGTGAAACTGTTTGCAAAACATAGATAATGATATCCACAGAGTATTAAGATAAAGTTATTTATCAGCAGGTGACTAAACAAACATATATTTTCCTCTTTATATTACAAATGCTACGACTGACCTGCAACGCATCGAGTTCATCCTGAAGGACAGATACCCGCCGCGTCAACTGCTGGTTTCTGAATGTCAATGAATCTATCTCCAACTCCCCTTTTCTCAAGGATTTCTCCTTATCCTTAAGTGTTTCCCGCAACTCATTCGACTTAGCCTGCTCATCTAGAACTCCTTTCTTTAGCACCTTTACATGCACCCGCAACTGCAACAACGGAAACAACGAATTCACTAAATTGCCGATCGTTTACCGCATCACGTTTAGCCAAGACACACACTTTCGAATACTCCGCCGCCAATTTCTGGTACTTCGCCTGTATATCACCCGAAGGCAGCCCCTCCATTGTCGTATTTCAGGAGTTCATAACTGTAAATTCCGGTATTTAGCTGTTTATTTGTTACTTGTATTGAACATGAACACCCACTTGTCTTCACTTCAACCCACTTTCGTTCGCGAAAATGACGTATTGTGATAGTAGAATTGATGAAACGTCAAATGTCAAAATTGATAATACCATGGTGATTTAGTCGATTTTTTCCAAAAACAAACTATCCGAATGAATAAAAATATTTTCTTGTGTGAGTATGTATACGTATTATATTTCATATTAGTAAGGATTCTGTTATGTCTACAAATAAAATAGACTTTTTAATATTAATTTAAACTGTTTCCCATAATTAAAGATAATAAGACTTCGAATAGCATTTTTAGTATGTAGTACAATCACATTGAAAAAAACGAGGGAAATCTTTTTTTAGCAAGGTAACATTCCTTCTGTTGATGTGTCGTGATTGTCCAATATAAAATATCAATATTTTGGAAATTTATGAAAGAAAAGCTTTAATTTCTAACTTAAAAAGCTTAAATACTTACTACTAAATATATTTAATCTTTCAATGGTACGGTCATGGACGATAGGTACGGTATTTGTTAATTTTTCACATTGTATCGCAACAGGTAAAACTAAGTTAGAACAAAGTAAATTATGACTAAACTATGCTTTAATTTCCAGGAATATGGAATCTGGCTGTTCTCATTACAATGATGTTGATAGCGAACACGCTCGATGTATAATTCACATCGATGTAGACTGTTTCTATGCACAAGTGGAGATGGTACTAAATCCGGAGCTGCGGTCGGTTCCGCTCGGCATACAACAGAAGAACATCGTCGTAACAAGCAACTACGAGGCCAGGAAGTACGGCGTGCAGAAATGTATGCTTGTTACGGAAGCGTTAAAACTTTGTCCTAATTTAAAACTTGTAAATGGTGAAGACTTGCACAACTACAGAACTGCTTCTAATAAAATATTTGCAGTTTTACAGTGTTGGAAGTGTCCAGTGGAAAAGTTGGGTATGGATGAAAACTATATTGATGTCACAAATTTAGTACAAGAGAAGATGAAATCAGTAAACAGTAGCAACATTACACATGCTGGACATGTGTACAGTGAGCCCAGCATCGACTGCCCCTGTGGCTGCCACACCAGACTGAGGATAACATCACAGATAGCCAGTGACATGAGGAAAAAAATATTTGAAGACTTAGGTTTCACAACTTGTGCTGGTATTGCACACAACAAGTTGTTAGCTAAACTAATTTGTCCCCAAAACAAACCGAATGACCAAACTATTATATTCCCTGAACATGGGACCAGTTTCATGTCTACATTACAAAGTATACGCTCCATTCCAAGTATTGGTTCAAAAACTGCAGAAGCTCTAATATCTAACAATATCATAACTGTGAGTGACTTACAAGAAGCATCCCTTGATGTGTTGAAGAAGCACTTCAGTAGTGATATGGCTGTCAGACTGAAAAGTTTAAGTTTAGGTGAAGATAATACTCCAGTGAAACAGACGGGTAAACCTCAGAGCATCGGCCTGGAGGACAGCTTCAAGATAGTCAGTGTACGAAGTGAAGTGGAGGATAAGTTCACTGCATTGCTACAAAGGTTGTTAGTCTTAGTCAGAGAAGATGGACGCATTCCCGTTTCTTTGCGGGTCACATTACGGAAGAAAGATGCCAAGAGACTGAGCAGTCACAGAGAATCAAGACAGAGTCAAATCTCTCCCTCCATCTTCTCTCTAACTGGTGGTACTCTGACAGTGACTGAGGCAGGCCAGCAGAAACTGATGAACATAATTATGAGATTATTTAACAAGTTAATTGACTTGACCAAACCATTCCATTTAACTTTAGTGGGATTGGCATTCACTAAGTTCCAAGAGCGCATGACAGGCAGAGGGTCTATAGTGAACTACTTAATGAATGATATTTCCGTCCAATCTGTGCTTAATTTACAAAATGAATGTGATACATCTGCTTCATCTATGGATTACTCTGCAGTGTCACCCAGCAGTAGCACAACAACAGATCTCTCTGACGCCGAAGTAGAGCCGTCACCAAAAAAACCCAAAAAGGTTACATGGATAGCAAAAAGAAGATGTCTGGCCAAAGAAGAGGTTGCTTCCCCAAGTAAACTAAAAGTTGGTGAACTCCGACTAAACTCAAAAGAGCTTGAAAAAGTTTCAGAACTAAGACTGAATTCTCGCGATCGATCACTCACGCCACGCGCCAGTCCAGCGAAAGACAACTTGTCTGATACGTCAGACACAATGAGAGACTGTGAAGAGAAGAATTGTGATGACTGCCCCAGCTATGTTGATAAAGAAGTGTTCAATGCACTTCCCGACGACATGCAAAAGGAGCTCAAGTCCATGTGGAAAAACCCCTCTAGCTCAGAGATGCCGAGAAGTAGTCCTAGAACGAACAAAGCTAAACCGAACACAATTATGAAATATTTTGTTCCACACAAATAGTATTAGTAAGATTTTATCTTGTTAATTATTTTAAGTGATAAGTGAATGGTTTCTATTTTTTCAAATCATACAATTTTTATTCAGCTGATCAAATACATGTTTATGTTAAAAATAAATATCTTTTATTGCTAATAAATAGTTAATTATAATACATTAGAAGATACAGGTTAAACAAAAAAACTTTAGTATACAACTGGGCATATCATTTAATATCTATATTTTTTACAGCATCTGTTACCATACTGGATAGTTCTGGGAACTTGTGAACACTATTTACATTGAGGCGGAGTGTGCGCGCGAGGTTCCCGTACGAGACTACGTCCACGTTCAGTTGCAGTCGGATCTTGTCTCCGTCCGTTACACCCGTGCTGTCGCTACTTTGTGGGGAACTCATCTCTCGAATTTGCTTCAGTCTTCTCAATGACTCTTCGGTTTTTTGAACCGAGGTCAATACATCCTCTACATACTTGTAGTATCTGGAACACATGTTACTATTTATAGACTTGTTTATCGCATATTGATAAGGAATTAATTTTTTTATAAAAAATTACAACTTGCGACATACAATATTTTAGGGGGAAAACCCAGTTCGTATTGCATTCGTATGTTTATCTCACAACAAAAAAAAAAGAAATATAATTTAACAAAAGATACTTACGAAACAGTCATGACATTGAATAGTGATTCAAATAGTTCCATAGTGAATGTATTATCCAGTTTTTTGGAAGCTTCCTCATTGAACTCCTTCAAAGCATTCGACACTACATCTATGTATGTGCACGGTTTATTTGGTACACTACGGTTAGTCTTCCGGTACAGGCGCGGTATGTCGCTGACTTGCTTCAGATGGACATTGAAATTCTCGTACAGTTCGTTGACTACACAATCCCTTACTTTCTCCTTAGTACCCTGTAGAATGGTCTCTGAAGCTTTCAAGCTCTGCCCCAATAGGTCCTTGTTCTCAATAGGTATTTTGGTCTTGACAAGCTCCAATAAGTGAGGCAACTTTCTCAATAAACTTTGTATATCCACATAGATGTTAATACTGTTGTCTATTAAGTTTTTATTTACATTTGTTGGCTCATACTTTTGTGATGGTATTCTCTGAAACAGAATAGTAGGATTATTGTTTTATTTATGTTTCAATAAAACATTCAGACCATGACATTGTGACACAATTCAACAATCTACAGCTGCATGATGTCATCGTTATTTACTATCATGTATTAATAAATCTACAAACTAATTAAAAAGGTACAGTTCTGATAATAATACTACTTAATTCAAATAAAACATCACAATACTGTACAGTTTTCAAACATAAATCTATGATAAGCTTATTAGTTTAGTACCAATACTATATCTATGACTGTATGAACTGTACCAGTATGAGTAATACATTCCTATTATTTGCATTTAATTGTAGGCCTAGAGATTAAACTAAAGAGCTTAGAGCTTTACAAGTGTACATTAACGCAATGATAAAATCAGGCCATTTCATAAATGCTTATCAGTGCATAGAACATTATCAGCACTCAATCGGAGTTTGAAATCGCCGCGTATAAACTGGTTATTACCTGTGTACAATACGCATTAGCCCACGTGGCATACCGCGACAGCAGTTGAAGAGTTAGTTTCCAGAACTTGTGGGCCAGAGCTTCTATGTATACCCCGTCCGACCAGCACTCCTGGATAGCATTCCAACATTTTTGTGTTTCTCTCAGTACGAATTCGTCTTTAGGTTCCAGTGTAGGGCTTTTCTGTAGCGCCGCCTCGTAACTTCCTGTGATTGTTTGGACATTTCATAAACAAATGCATACTTGAAATTTTTCCACATGACCTTGTGTATACTATGAATAATGTTGGAAATAAAAAGTGGGTTTGGTTTTTGGCTATCATCCAGATTGTGAATGGTATTAATTACTGAACCATTTAAAATATCAAACATTAATTTATAGAAGCATGTTTTTCTCAAACATAATAAAAGTAAGTCTATTGCATACAAACACCCACATTCTGGCATGTTTATTATATCGGGGATTTGGTACTTGGGATGAATCAAACATTTAATTTAGATCATGATGTGACGCGTCATTGGACGAAATATGGGCCTCTATTTACGCCTAACACCCACAGCATTTAGTAGGTCAATTGTAGATTGTAGAAATGAATACTTATGGCACCTTGTATAGTGGAAATGAACTTTTTAAAAGTGATATCTTGTTATAGTATCCTAAAATTTGTATAAATAAAAAAAATATAAGTACCTGCAACTTCTTGAAACCTTATTTGGAAATAAACTGGCAAGTTCCATCTTCTTTGGAAGCTCTTATACTCTGAAGTTTGATGCAGCAACTTCATATCATCCGCAGAGCAATATTTCTCAAGTTTCTTTATAAATTCCACACTTTCACTGTACCTTCTATAAAATATCTGAGGGTTGCCAGGAGCGAAAATTGATGCTAGATTCACTTCCAACCTATTTTCTACTTCGCACCAAAAGCAGTTTACTAAAAATCTATATTTTTTAACCAGAAATGATAATTTGGAATGTTGCGTTACAGTTAGAAGTAACTTTAGTTTTGTGTCTAATAAAGACAAGATTCTATCATAGATTCCTTGAAGGCCTT